TTGAAAGGAGAAGCAAGCCATGGCAGCACACCCCAGTAATCCCAGCACTGAGTCAGACCGATTGCCGCGTTAGGAGCCAGCCTGCACACAGGGAGACTGTTTCCAAAGGAACAATAATAGGGCTGGGGGTGTAGGTGGGATGGTAGGACGCTGGTCCCATGCACCAGGCCCTGGCCAGAAGAAACAGGAAAAGCAGAGCCCCTAAAGCAACCAACCTGGATCAACAGGCGGAAAACGCGATGCTGAAGCAGAGTGAGCAGGGGAGGGGGGTGGGCAGGCAGGGGGTGCAGTGGCAGGTAGGCCTGTGTTAGGATCACGTAGGCCTCTCATGTACTTGGGGATTTTGGTCCATGAGTTCCTCCAGACTGGGCCATGGAGAGATCCTCCAACTGCATCCTTGTGAAATTGCCCAGCACTGTTTTCCACACTTTCTTCCTTTGCAGCACAAAGTTCAAGGCTCACCCTATGGCTTCCCTGTGCCAGCTCTAGAGTCAGCCATTTGGAAAAGGCACTGGCCATGCTCTTAGGCATTTCAGTGCACACTTCAGGCTCTCGCAGGAAATGTGTGAATATATGCTGCATGTGCGCAGTACCGACATGTGAAAGCATGTGTGTATTCATGTACACAAGCTGTGTTTCCATCTTTTAATCATAGGTTCATATGGATGCCACTAGTCCCAACCGAATGCCAGGTACTTTCTCGCTGCCCGTCCTTATTTCCTCCCTTCCTTCCTGACAGGGTCTCATGTAGCCCAGCCTGCCCTAAAACACACTAAGCAGATAAGGTTGATCGTGAACTTACGACCCTCTGTTCCACCTCTCAAGTGCTGGGATTACAGACATGTGCCACCACACTGGTTATGGGGTGCTAGGGCCTTAGCAGGCTAGGCAAGGACTCTACCAGCTGAACTCCACACTCAGCCTTCATCCTTTATTTTCTGTGTCTCAGAGTAAAGAGTCTAGATCCTAAAAAGTCAGTGAATTCACTCACTGCCCTTGTTACTGTCCTGTTGCTGTGAAGAGACACCATGGCGAAGGCAGCTTTATAAACAAACGCGTTCAATTGGGAGCTTGCTTACAGTTTTAGATTATCATGGTTGGAAACAGACAGGCATGGTGCTGGAGCAGCAGCTGAGAGCTTTACATCCTCATCAGCAGGAAGCAGAGAGACAGAGATAGAGACAGACAGACAGACAGCCTGGCATGGGCTTTTGAAACCTCAAAGCCTACTCCCAGTGACACACTCCTCCAACAAGGCCACACCTCCTAATCCTTCCCAAACAGTTTTACCAACTGGGGACCAAGCATCAAACATCTGAGCCTATGGTGGCCGCTCAATTCACAATTGAGAAGCACACCCATCTTCTCAACTGGCAATGTACATAAGATGGTCTGAGGACTGCTGTACTGCACCAGGCACGTAAAGGGTTACCTGCAGAGTGCAAGCCTTCCTTCCCCAGTTCATTTTATATTGAGATCAAAAGTGGTCAGTCCTGTGTTCAAACCCGACCTGGATTCAATTTTTTTCCTTCTGATGTTAGGTTATTCACTGTTCATACTTAGTTATAGAGTTTAAAAAATAAAAAAGAAACATGTCCCTAAAGCCCCACTCCAGCTTGTATGTGTCTGTGCCTGTGTGCAAGTATGTAAACGTGTGTCTGGCGCCCAAAGAGGGTGAAGGTTGTTGGATCCCCTGGAACTGGAGTTATGGGTGGTTATGAACCACCACTGTGGATACTGGGAGCCAAACCCAGGTCCTCTGCAAGAGCAGCCAGTGGTCTTCCTGGCAGAGCCTATCTCCAGCCCGCCCCCTCCCCATCTTAAGCTCATTACATAAACAAGAACAATACGCTTCTGCAACCAGAAACTCTTAGGAAAGCCTTGTTCAGAGTGGTGTGGTGTGTGTTGTCCCCCCCGCCAGGGCTTGTGCCTGTCCCCTCATATCGGTGTCCTCTGAAAAGGGAGTCATCTGGCAAAAACGTCACTTTGCCAGCTGTGTTCCAAGCTCCTATTCGACCAGACATCGTGAACTCTGTTCACACCAACCTGAGGAAAAACAACAGACAGCCCTATGCCGACAGTGAAGGAGCAGGTCTGAGTGAGGACCAGTGCTGAGTCTTGGTGTACTGGCAGAGTTCCCCGAGTCTGAGGTGGTGGGACCCACTGTTCCGGCCCGGGTGCCTTTGGAAATGGGGGGGGGAGGCGCGCGAGTGTTTGCACCAACCAAAACCTGGTGTCAGCACCGCGGAGTAAACACACCCGGAGCCATTGGTGGGATGGAATGAATTCCCACAACACTGGTGCCAAGCTCCTACCCTCCAGGTTACTCAGTTTTTACCCACCTCCGAGTGGCTATCTGCCTTGGATTTATTTTTGTTTTCTCAAAAAAGGCCAGTCTGAGGGCCAGTGAGATGACTCAGCGGGGAAAGGTACTTGTCAACAAGCCTGAGGACAGGAGTTTGAACCCCAGGACAAAGGAAATGACTCCTGCAAGTTGTCTTGTGAGGGCCACAGGTGTGCTTTGACTCACACGCGCACACGCGCGCACGCGCGCGCGCACACACACACACACACACACACACACACACTGTAATGAGAGCATTTTTTGTTTGTTTGTTTTTAAAATAGGTATTCTAGTTTGCTTATCTGTTGCTGTGCTAAAACACTGCCCAAAAGCAACCTGGGGAGGTGAGGGCTTATTTGGCTTACACTTCCAGGTCACAGTCCATCTCTGAGGGAAGTCAGGGCAGGAGCTCACTCTGGAACTGAAGCAGACACCACCGAGAACAGTGGCTTGCTCTCATGCTCACTTTCAGCCGCCTTTCTTACACAGCCCAGGCTTGTCTGCTTGTGGATGCTGCCCACAGTGGGCTGGGCACTCCTACATCAATTACCAATCAAGAAAATGCCCCCAGACATGCCCAAAGGCCAAACCGATGAAGAAATAGGTCAGTGAGTGGGGTAGAACACAACATCGAACATAAAATGTGTTTTAGAGTAGATGCCACAGAATATTTACATAACAACATAAGGGACCTATAGAACCTGGACACACAGAAGCTTCAGGGGAAGGGCAGGGTGCTAAGGAAAACAGCTCTGAGAACATCTCCTGGCTTACCACATAAGGGATAGCAAAGAATTCCCACAGAGGGAGCAGGCTGCCATCCAGTTTTGTTGTTGGGAGACAGGGGCTTGCTATGTAGCCTAGGAAAGATCCCCTCTTACACCCTCCTGCCTCGCTCCTGGAGCAGGGATTACAGGGGAGCCCCACAAAGCCTGAAGTTGCTTGTTCCCACCTTTCCAGAGTGCTTATAGTTGTTTCTCTGGAGCTCATGTTAAAACAGAGGTATTAGTTCAGAAGGACAGTTAAGTCATCGCTATGTATCTAATACCAACAGAGTAGCTGTGCCCTAGGAAGGGGGCACAGTTCCAGGAATGCCAGGGAAGAAATGCCTGATGGTTGGCTGTATAAAATAACACCCGTAAGTGGTACCAATCACACCAGAAAGACCAGCACAGGTTTCTGACATTTCTAGGAAATTTATGTATACTTCAGTGAGTAGCTGAGGATTGCTCCTTAAACCTAGGACTAAATGAATGTGTCCTAGAGGGAAAAGCGTGCACGCTATGGACAGAGGGATCTTGCCCTGAATCCAACTTGAGTTAACAGTTACAAGACCTCAGCAAGTCATTTAACATCTCCCTGCCTGTGGAAGGTGCAGTGTGTCCTTTGAGAAGTGACTGAGAGATGACAGAAGAGTACAGCTCACTGTCCCTGGCCCAGGACAGAGCTTCAGGAAATAATTCCTTCAATAAATCAGATTAAACTAGGCAGCAAGGTAAAGAAACCAAAAACCAAGACCCAACTTAAGCAACATGCCTGAAAGAAAACAGAATTCACCCAGTCTCCAGCAATATGTGGTAATGGCAGAAAAATGTCCAATATTTTAGTTCCCATTCTTAGTTTTGAAAGTGTCTCAGGATCTATTTTTAAAGTGTAAAAATACACACTGATATGTTTATTCATAAAAGACCAACAGCTCAACATTGCTTCCTGTCTAATGATCATGGGCTTAAGGCATGCCGTCAAGAGAACCACAACACAGAATCAACGTCAGGGTCTAATAACCTGTAGACACAAGGGATCTGGCAATATTCACTAAATGATATTTTTAAAGTTTCTATTTCGGTTTTAAATTCATCAGCAAACCCAAATGCGAAAATGAAAACTCCTTAAATGCTCTTAATGAAAATATTAAAATATACAGTAAACTTTCAGAGCCAGCAGTGACCACAGGCGGAGACACCTCTCGTATGAGCATGTGTTAGCCACCACATCCAGATAAACTGAAAAATACAAAAGGTCAGCCGTCTCAGTTCCCATATTAAAAGGGACTAACACATACATTTCAAAGTCTTAAGACAACTCCCTGGTAGGGTGCGGGTCCACACTAGGCTATATTTTCACCCTTTAAGGAAAGAGAGAGGGAAAGGATGAGAGAGAACCAGAAAAAACAAAATCATCCAGCACTGCTACAAACAACTGGAAGCCGTCTCTCAACTTTGAAAACGCAGTCTTCCCTTAGTGGAGAGCAATACATGCATGCCACACATTTTTATTCTGAAGCAAAAAGAGATGGGAGATGAGAAAACGCTTTTTCTTGTTCTAAACTTGCAATTATCCAAAATCCGTTATCGCCTCCCCTTAAAAATAACCAAACCGCAGGGCATCGTGTCAGTCAACCCCCCCCCAAAAAAAACCAACAAAAACAAATAAAACAAAACAAAACAAAACCCAATGAGGCGCCAGCAGCCCATGGAGAAGTTGAGGGGCTCCGCGCCCTGCAGTCATCACTGTCTGGGCTCCCCGGGCAGCCGCACCCTCGGGCAGTCCCGGGCCTCACCGAGCGCAGAGGAGCCCGCGTCCACACGGACACCCGCAACGCGCCGCCCGCGTCCACACGGAACCCCGCGCCCCGCCACCAGCCCTCGCCACCTACCTGGAGCCCGGTTGCCACCACCGCGCTGCTGCTGGCCGCTCGGCTGCGGGGAGCGAACCGGGAACAGGCTCCGCCACACGAGACGGCGGCCACACCCAGAGCCCTGCACGCCGGACGG